TTTTTTTTAAATACATTTTCTGCTAATGTTTTCCTTTAGTATTTTTTCTAAGCTTTGTCTTAATATTTCACTTCTGTCATGTGCTTGTGTCCATATGGGCTTGCAAATATGAATGTGTGAGTGTTTGTATATTGTGTGTACTCAGGTATGTGTGTAAATATCTTTGTACAGGTACTTATACTGAGACACACACACATACACATTTATTGTAATACAGTAGTATGCTTTATATATAATTGGCCTTGGGTCTCTTGCATATTTAGAAGTGTCTTTAAATTTCCATTTATTTACTCTCATTGTTTACAGTGTTTGTGTTTGAGCCACACAGCAGTAAGTTGGTGACATGGCAGTGCAATATTGACACTTGTCCAGCCATTTCAGCAGCCTTCATCCCTCGCCTCCAAAAATCTGATTCAACGGCTTCTTGGAATGAACAAAGTGCTCTGATTTATATCAATGAAAATCAGGTTTGTAATACTGTACTTGCTCTAGCTTTCATTTTATTTTTATTTTTTCTGGCAGGGAGGGGACATTGCAGTAATATCTCAGACTACTGTATATCAATCATCAACATTTTTTTTTTATCCAGAGTTATGAGCCTTTAAACTCTGCTGTGGCACAACAGAAGACCTATTCATCTTACTAACAACTCTTATTCTTGAATATTAATGATAGGTTTCTGTTTGTTCTTCTTCAGACACTGAAAACTCTTCATGTGAATGAGGATTCAAGTATACCCAATGACAAGATAGACAGAAGCATGAGACAGTTAGTGCTGGAAACAGATGCACTTCCAGCACCCACTCCGTTCTCTGCTCTCATTGCCCAGACACGTACGTCCTACGACACTGAGATACAAACCCAGCAGTCAGGCTCAGCTGCTTTTGGAGTTCAACTGGAAAAATCAACAGCACTAATACAACAGGTGACTATTTTTTACATAGACAATAAGCTCTGTGTAGTTTGGTCTTTCTTTTTTTTCCAATGTGTTTTGCTTAATCTGTACGTATTTGAAAAAATTTAGGGTAATTAATTATGTCAAAAGAATAGGTTTACCAGCTATTTATTTAGAGATGATCAGTTATCTAAGGCAGTCGAAGGTCATCATAAACACTTTACAAAACATCAAATAATTGACCTGTAGAAGGAGATATGTTTCCTGGAAGTTGCACATTTATTTTATAACCATGCACAAAGGCTTTTCTGAAGGAAGCATTGTTAATTAATTGTAAAGGCAACAAGAAATTGTTTAAAAGATATTTCTTTTTCATCATAACCAAGATTTTGATGAACAAAGAGTGAAACTTTTAGTCTCCCATGTTCTTGAAGGAATGATTTGGTGGAAAAGGAAGGGGGATCTGCATCCAAAGGAATTAATATTTAAACTGGAAGGCATTTTTGGGGGTTGTGTTGATGACATAGAACCAACCTTTCCAGAAAGTAATCAGTGTTAGAAGAGCCTGATTGCAGCTGTCACCAGAAAAAAAAAGGACTTCTGGATCAAATTGTCATTTTATTTCAATTATTGTACATGTATTCACTTCTCACTTTTATATGAGTAAAGTTGATCTATGTGAATAAATGTTGATTAACCTAAGTCTTCTTATTATAAAATATAATTTATATGATTAATTTAAGTTACAATTTATTATCATTAGTGCCATTTTATTCTTAATCCTTGTTAATCCAAACTTACCAATTGTGTTGTTTTAGGTTCTGAATGAGGCGAGAGTATATCGAATTGACTCATTTGCACATATGACCTCTGAGTTCTGCAAGCAGATCATCCCTGAAGCAGTTACCAGGTACAGTATAGAAAAGAGCATTAATTTGTTGTTTGGTAATTTAATACATGTACAGTATGGTAATATATAAAACCATTCAGTGAGAAACAGAGAATCACATATCAGAGATGAGGAAAGATACCATAGTATTGAAAGAGGTTGAATAGTGTTATGAGAGAGGAAGAGATAGCCTCATAAAATCTATAGAGATAGCAGTAAGAGAGAGAGGTAGAGATAGGGAAACAGTACAATATTGTGAAATAAGTAGAGATGGCATTAAGAGAGAGAGGGATATACAGGGTATAGCATTATGAGAGGGGCAGAGATGGTATTACAGTATAAAGGAAAAATTGAGATAGCATTATTTGTGAGAAATGTAGGTAGTATTTTGAGAGGTAGAGATAACAGTACAGTACAGGTATCCCTCTCTATACAAACGTTCAAAGTTACAAAAATTCGCTTTTATAAATATCCTACATCATCCGGCAAAAAATTTAAATCCCTCGCTCCCAGGAGTCTCTGGGCTCCCAAACTGTCCATAGGATGGATTCATTACCTTATTTATGCTGTTTTATTTCTCAAAAGTTTATTATTGTACAGTATAAGTAATTTTTATTGTGCTCTATCTATTCCATTGAACTTGTTTATATGTGGCATGTGTATTGTATATGATTAATTAATGTTTGTTTGTTTTTTCTTACAGTAAAGAAATACAAGAGAAAGAAGACTTTGTTACTAAGATAAAGGAAAGTGAAAATGTACATTTAAAAACAAAAAAGAAGGTATCAAAGAGAAGAAAGTCAAAAGTTAAAAGCATTGCTGACAGTGATTTTAGTGACCTCATGAAAGTATTGGCAATATGAAGACTTTGTACAGTATTACTATTTATAATGTTTAAGTTGTACCTTTTGCAGTAAATACAAGTTAACGCTTCTTTGAAAGAGACAATGATGATTGGAACTACAACTCACAATAAAAAATACGAAAGTAGCTTTTTTCCTTTTTGCAAGCCCTTTACTGCTGTGATGCAGGGTGAGAGGAATAAAGAACAGACATCACCTCTCTCTTCATTTGCAATTATATTTTCTCTCTAACTAGTGTCACAGATGTGTTCTGTTATGGAATTCTCTTTACACAACAAGGCCCCAAGACAGCTATCTGGTTTATCCCTGTTTATTCATTCAAACAAGTATTGCCTGTCAGCAGCACTTTCATGTTACATTATTTTATTATTGTGATGTTGGTTTAGTCTGTTTACTTCTGTCAGTTATCTTTAACCCTCTCCCACTTTCATATGGGGTGGTTCAAGGGGGTATGGAAACCTCAAAGAGAGTGGTACAAAGAAGTTGTAAAAAAAAAAGAAAAAAGATAGGGACATAAAAACAAGTAGAAACATCTACACCTACATATTCATATCCTCAACGTGTACAGTGTACTGTATACAGTATACTGTAGTATACAAGTGAAGTAGGTTGCAGAGAATCTTTGGATTTGACCTGTGAACTTGATATTTATATTACTGAATCCTTCACTGCAATATCAGTGCAGGGTTAGAATTGTAATAGGTGGCTTTGTGGTACAGTACACTAGTACAAGTGCAGGTTTAAGAATAAAAGACAGGTATTATGAAGTTGGTGCTTGAACTTGTACGTACAGTAAATGAATAGAGTTAACTGGTGATTGTAGTGAGAAAATGATAAGAAAGAATTAATTGTTTGGTGAATTAATCATATGTGGCTAATAAGGTTTGTAATTAATGTACCTGAAAAATCCTGGAAATTCAATATCAGATATCTAAGCCTAGAGTGTCATGAAAAATTACATTTTCAAGAAATAAGAAAATAAATCATCCCACTATCTGATGAACTAGTGCAGTGGGACATCCAAAGAGGTTTGTTTGTTAAAGATGAGCTGCTGCTATGGCCATTAGCTGCAAAAGCAGCATTGACTATGGCAATTGCTGACCCAGTCATGGAAATTGGTTTGATGTCCTAGAAATTTTTTTTAATTTTGAAGATGTACAGTCTCGTTCAAGGTTCTTCGAACACTGCTGGAGATAGCTGGTAACTCAAGGCCATTTGTTTACTATGGAACGTAGTATAATATGATACGAAACAACAAAGCCCAACCATTAAATTAAGCAATGAGGAACTAAGTAACCAATCACTTCCATTTATTCATAATTTTTACTACATACTATAGTAAACAAACATCCTTGAGTTGCCAGCTGTCTCCAGCAGTGTTCGAAGAATCTTGAACAAGACTGAACAAATTAATAAACCTTTGGCTAAGGATGCATAGTTTTTTGTTTAATAGAAAAATGAGTGAGGTAGTGTGTGTTGGTCAATATTTGTATACTATTATTGTCAATAGTTTTACCTTCCATCCAGTAGACTGAAGAATCTGATATGATCTGTGCTAGAAATTAGTATTCCCTAGCATTGAATGAGTAGACTTGCAAAATTAAATAGTAGAAGATTTATTATGAGATTGATGTGGACCAATACAGACAAGTGAATGTTGACTTAAAGCTTAAAGATATCTGAGGCCACAAGATTCAACAGTAAAGTAGGTACTGTACTGTATTATAATAGAGTTACTGTTTGTAAGTAATGAAAATTAAGGAGACAAGGGACGACTGTACCTGTTACAGAATAACTTTAAATATACTGAAGTGATGTCTGTAAGCTGTGCAAGTACAGGGTATTGTGTTTTATATACAGTAGACTGTTGGTGTTTTTGATGAGGTACAGAGTCACTGTACATAAGTTATTTAAAGTTTTATATATTTAAAAAAAAAAACTATTATAATTTGCAATAATTGTTTTTATTACTTATACTAATTGTAAATAAAATTCCTCGTCCTTCAGAAATTGATCATTGGGAACTGTTGTTCATTCAAGGATCTGCAGAACAGTATTAAGGGGTTCTGTGAGCACATTACACAACTCTTAACAATCTGAGGTGCACATTATCAGGGCCAGGACTCTTATGAACTTTGAGTGCTAGTGTCTCAAAAACTGGGAGAGTATTTGTATCTTATAAATACTAAAGAAAATATATTATTTAATATCTCCAGTATGTCCTGATCTAAGTTTGTGTAGCTTTCATATTAATGTCTCTGATCTGACATGCCCATTTGTCCTTAATCTTGACTTTGCAAAACAATTGAAATCTTTCTGCTGTGCTTGTCATTTGTAGTGATTCATCTCAAAACTGAGATTTCTCATAACTCTATCAGTTGCCACATGGTTCATGTACTGTACTGTATATTGGTCTCCAAGTTGTCCTGGAACTAGTGGACCTGATCTCGGGCATGTAGTTAGTTTACTTGACAACATTGTTACAGTAATTGTTTATAACAAAAATATTTAATTAAATATAAAAGCTTATAGCTTATCTTAACATCTAACAAGCATGTTTCATTTTCTGTTGTTTAATAAAATCTTATGTTGTAAATAGTGATTTATATATTACTAAAGTTTGTGATGAGATGACAGACTTAGCTACTCAGTAGGTGGTTCAGTCACTCATTGGCCCACAGTAGAGGAATGCAAGTTTGTATCACAGCTGTATGGCGGTGGTGAGGCATAGGTTTCTGGGTGCAGGAGTTGGTGGTAGACTTCTCTCTAGTCATCATTACAGTTGACTTCATTTGGTAACTCTGTGTTTAACAAGTGTAAAATCATGCACACCTTTGTTTACATTGTGTGTCAAGGAACTATGAAGTACAGTACAGTATACCAGAGACTGCTACATTATAGAATTTATCATTCATAAAATGGAGCATTAAAGTAACTTAGCTTAACCCACCTAAGCTTGAGCTTCACCTAAATATTATTACAGTAGTGCATTGTATATGATTTCCATGTAATCTTCCTTCTCAGCAATCGATAATCACATGTAACTGATGGACTGTAGTGATCCAGCCAAAACAATCTGCCAAAATCACAAACAATGGGGTAATAAAACATTCATCTTGTCATTCTTTCTAAAATAAACGATAACTACCATTTTAGGCTAGCTTGATGCATTTTATGAATAAAAAATTGCATAATATAACGCTGTTACAGTAGTGAAATTACATATGTATTATCCTGTAATAAGGACGTTGCAATACAGTAGTGCAGTGCCCTAAATTGTGTCCATATACAAGTATTTGTTTCATGGCTGCAGCAAGATTTTCGTATTTGGTTATTCTAGGATTAAAAAAAAAAATATGAAAATATATCTTTCCTTTGGCAAATTAGTATTAACAGAGATATGAGTAAAAACATTATCGAAAATAAACCAGGTCAGATGACGTTGTAGTGGACGTCTCCCCTACAAACTGCCTATCGCATTCCAATGTGCCGCCTTCCCTAGCAACCAACCAGATGTTACTGTATCTTAGCAACGAAACTATTCACCGGCGACTTCTCAGGTTTTCCCACCATGACTCATAGCGGCTGCTGCGGGGTATATAAGCTCTGTCTCTCCATTGAGATTCATTCTGACCATTCTTCTTGAACAAGCAACACCTCCTCCTCCGCCGCTGCCTGGCTGCCCCTCGCATCTCCTCGCCTGCCTGGTGGTCCTCGCTCCCGCTGGCGAGCATGGCGACCCACCAGCTGTCCTTCCCTGAGCTTCCTCACCAACCAACTCTCATTCTGCCCATTTTCCTGAACAAGCAACATCTCCTCCAGCAAGCTTCACGCTGTTAACATTTCATTCAACCAGGAGGCCAGCAACAGCCAACATCTTCTCTAACGAAGCTCCTGCACGTCTACCTCCTTCAACAAGCTACTCACCGCACGTCTCTACCAAGCAGCCCCTCACCACACAGCACCTCCAGCACCAGACTGTCTATCATATAACTTATATATTATACAAGAAAACCACATTAGAGTTTCCTTCCATCCTGAGTGCTAGACAACTTTAATATCTCGATACCCCTACAACGTTCTTCCCCAGCCCAGTCAGCCGCTCTCGAACAACGTCTATATTCTAGTATGTGTCGACCGTGATGTGATAAGGTTTGGTTGGGTTAGGTTAGGTGTCAACAGTGATTTGGAAGTTAAAATTGTTTTGAGAATAAATTTTTTTGGGTGTATTTAGGTGTGTTTTATTCAAATCTGACATTCATTTCTTGTGCAAATGATTGAATTTTGTAAAAAAAAAAAAAAAAAAATTAAATAAATACAAATACTATATACAGGGTATATATTTTTTTTTTACAAAGTTTGCCGTTTGCCCAAAAACTGAAGGTCAGATTGAAGTAAATCATACCCATATATAAAAATATTTATATTTATATAAATATTTTCAGAACAGAAAGAAACCAAAGCCATTAAGCGAATATTTATCAAATTAAAGCAGCGTAAGTTTATGGTCGGACAGTGAGCGTGTCAGTTGTAAACAAACAGACAACATGTGACAACTTGGCAGATTTTTCAACATTGCCTCCAAAATAATGACTATCAAAGAATGTTGAAATGTGACTTAATATGACTTTGTAGTGGATATTTCCCCTATAACCACAACTACAACTGCCGTTTGTCGCTGACTAGCCGACCCCTTTTCGAATTCCCCAGCCAACGCCTCGTAGTCTAAGGTCGGCCTCTAGCGCCGCCTAACAAAGCGAGGTCAACTATCAAGCCACGCCTACCCCCGCTATATAAGACCTCACCTCGCCGTGACCTGCCCCTTCTTCTACCTACAGACACGCAGCAAGCAACACTCCTCTAAGCACCCTCACCAACCAGCTCTCTCTACTCCATGCTGCCACTTCACAGCACCAAGCTGCACTGTACATCCAATACAATATGTGTAGAGAGAGAGCATTGTGAGTTTCCTTTCTCCAACCCATCCTGAGCGTGAACCAACATCTCGAAACCCCACAACTTAACCTGTATCTAAAGTCCAAATGCCAAAATATTAACTTTCTATAGAAACTGGTGAGACGTTAAAACGAATCTTAACCGGACAGTCCTTCGCTCTATTAGAAGTTTTCGGACTTTTAACCAAACCTCCATTTCAGTTTAAAGATGAAACAGGATATTTGATTATCTTAACAGTTAACACTGACATCCGTATCCGATAATCCGGCAACTTTTGTTAATGTCAGGGGTGCATACTGGAGTTGCCTAATTTGAATATTGAGAAAATATTTCGTCCCCCCCCCCTCCCCTTTTTTAGCACAAGCCTTCGAAATTCTTGAACTGATAAAGAAAATGTTCTATTTTTGTTGTGCATATAATGTATATCTCGTTAAAAAGACCGAAATAAAACGTTGCCGTAATCTAACATGACCACCTCCAAGAAAAGTCAGTGTCGAGGTGATGGTTCCCCCGATGACGTCTTTTCCGGTGAGTAATGAATGAATTTCTTTCTAATGAAACCGGTGAGTAATCAATGACGCTCAGATGATCCAAAATACTGAAGATCTGAATCACAAAGACCCCTAAACCGTAAATCACAACGAAATAGTCTTTAATTTCTTCTCCGTCGCGGGGTGAACCAGGTGAACTTCAAGGCAGTTGTGATTATCGGGAAACGGGTGTTTTTGTAAATTCGGTACAGTATTTGCATTCTACGATTAGTTTGCATATTTTGGCGCATTGTGGCTGATTAACTTTACAGCACTTAATCCTCTTCGTCAGACGGGGGAGCACCTCTAATATGCTGTGATTGCATAGTATATGCTATATGAATAAAAATATAGAATGTTATATCTGGATATTAAAAGATATAATAATTATATGCCTCAGCACACCAACAATATTCTTCTAACTATGCACGCATTATTTTGGCTTCTCCCTTTAGCTTCTGTAGCAAGATACGACTACTCTACAGTATATTCTTTCTTCTGATAGTCGTGGGAAGGTGTGGGGGGGTATTTACCCCGATACCCGCCTCAAACGTGCAGCCTTTCTTAGTAAATCTTTATCTACTCGTGTAAATTTGGGTCAGTTGGTAGATGGTAGTATATGTCCCCTTACATTTGATGTGTTTAAAGTTTTGGCCTACTACAAAAATCGAATAAAATTAAAATTTTGGTCAAAATATTTCTTGATTATTTTGTAACTCGATGGCTTCGGATAATTCTTTGAATATGACGCACGAGTCTGTTGTATGGTACTGTAGTGTATAACCAAGAAATGTAGTACTTCTCAAGAGCGCGGAACAGTAAACTAACCAACCTCATGATCAGTGTGGATGACAAGTTATCCACGCCAAATCCACGGACCATATTCTCGATTTAAATCAAATTGAATTGAAATATTTTATTGACAATAAAAAAACTATTACTTCAAAAGGACAGGTCAATATACGTATCGAACACACAGGAGGTCAAGCTTCCAAATGTTTTGACCCCCAAGAGGAGACTGGACAAAAAATGGGCAGAATAAGATACCATGTTCGATGACAGGTCTGAGTGTACTACGTACATGCTTAGTGGCGCCACCACCCCGCCCGCTGTAGTATCGATTAGGGTTATACTGTATAAAGGTTTGAAGATTTGAGTACACTGGGCTTGACACCGTCGTCCAGGTATAAGTAAGGCAGTAAATAAGTCTCTCTTGGAAGGGAACTAAGACGTTTCATTACCTAACCTGGCGGAGCCATGAAGTTGGTGGAGTTCCAGTTATACTAAATGGTAATCTATTCTTCCTGGCTTTTCGGTTTTATTATTAATACAAGAGTGACTGACAATTCTCAAGTACGTGAGGAAGGACTAGTAAAAAAATATTATTTGGTCGATCAGACTGTGATGTGAGTAAATGAGTGGAAGACTTACTTTTTACCTACAGTATATCCTCTTCGCTTGGCTCATCGGTTACATCTCCGTTACGCACTACTGGCAAATCTGGGCATGTCCTAGCTTTAGTCAGTCAGTCAGTATGTTAACTTGTCAGTAAGTTGGTCAGTAAGTGATTTAATTGGTCAGCCACTCAATCAGTTCGTTAGTCAGGCAATTAGTCAGTCAGACAGCATTCATATTCATAGAGCTGTCTGACTCAAGAAGAACACAAAGCTGTTGTAAGAAAGTCTGGAATGGCAAATCTTAACTGAGTTTACTCCTTATCATAATTACTTCGATCTTGATAATCAATGAATGTTATGAATTTTAGTAAACACAGCAAGTTTTAGATGATTAAAAGTGATTAATATATCTACAAATGGTGTGTGTGTGTGTGTGATGATTTTTTTCTTCTAAGAAATTGAATTGCCCGTATCCTTCTCGCCAATATACGTCCATTTGTATATAGAAATTCAGCAAAGATGTATAATAATATATTCGCTATGTAACAAATTACGACCGGCATATTATAGTTATAGGTCCCGGAAAATGTACTACTGTACCTGTATTATGAATTATTTTTAGTTATTTTGTCCTGTAACTACAATTAACTTATATATGCTAAAATTACTATAAGCGAATATGTTGTTAAGTAAAGGCACTCCGCTGCGTTTATTTAATAAATAAATGTATGTTTTATGCATGTATATGACTTCAATTAACTATAATGCAGAAATAACTTTTTATTAACTAATTGCAAAAGTTTCCTACTCAATTTTACCTTATTTTACCGCAGAATTAACCAAATATGAAAGTAATTTATGAGAGTCGTTGAATAAGAAAGCCAGTTTATAGATACTTGATGCTGCTTGAAGTAAAAATCTAGTAATTTCTCATTTTAAATTTCGAAATTCCCGCTGTTACTCAGGTGGGGGAGAGATGTCAAAGAGAGCATTTAAATCTTTAAAAAAAGGATAGTGGGTGCACATTTTATTCATCATATCTGAGAAAGTCTACAACTATTCAAAGATTCTTGTTATTTACAGTTTAATAATTGAATATTTTATGAAAGTGAAAATGATGATTATTTAAAAAGGATGATAAAAATGTCGTTACTGGAACATCATAACTGTGCTGGGACGTCCCTCGTCGCGGCGGTGTTATCCGTGAAATATTTCACAAAAATGGCTGCGGGATTACCACGAAGAATAATCAAGGTATGCAATAGATGACAATCTTTACCACCGGTAAACAGGAGATAGCGCTGGAAGGCATCATAGACGAAGTAGAATCACAAATTGCCTTAAAATACCGGATATGCATGGTGGTGGCGGCCAACCTGCTGTGTCAAGCGAGGTGCTGTACGTGCTACAGCAGCGGGATTATTATCTCCAGCGTGTAGTCATTATGACAGGGGTTCTATTTGGAGATGAGTCACGCCTCCTAGACCCCCAGGACCATGGCCATGCAGGAATAGTCAGGTGGAACATGGTGTCCATATTCCTGGGCCGTCCAATGTCATGACGTATTTTCAAGGTCTGCCATTATTTATCATAGACTATTATTTGTGCAATACAGTGGTTATCTAACCCGCTTCATATTAATATGTTTGTCCGTCACCCCAGAGTGCCGTGGATTTGTCCATCACCTTTGGAATATCATTCAAGTTTGTTCGTCCTCGATATTGTCTACATGACCATTGCCCCAGAGTACTGTTTGTGTTTGTTAGTAACCTTGAAGTACTTTATGTGTTTGTCTTTAACCCAAGACTACCATGTGTATATGGTGTTCCAAGAACGCCATGAATTTTTTCTGTCATTGCAGAGAACTTTGTTTTGCCCCAGAGTACTGTACAGTACTGTAATATTTCACCATCACTGAGTTCAGTATCTTCTTTGAAATTTCAGAGGAATTCTACCAGCTTTAGTATACTGTACTTACAAAAACTGTAACCTGATCATAATTGAAGCTCAGATTTGATTTTTTGAGTTGAAATACTACATTGGTGAAGACAAAAATTGGATGATAATAGATAACCAGATTTTCCCCTATACTACTACCTATGTACAGTACTTTAGGCACCCTTACTGTAAAATAGAACTGTTTGAATTTACTAGGAATGAATTACTGAAGTCTGCTAAACTTGAGTGTACAGGTGTATCACTCAGTTGTATACCATTTAAATGAGAAAAATCAGATATTATCCTGTGAAAATTTCAAACAATGGATGCAGGTATGTCACCCGTATTAACATACATAAGAAAATAAGGAGTCTGCAATAGGCCGGTTGGCCTGTGCATGGCAGCTCCTGTCGAGAGTTACTACCACTCTCTATCATACATGAATCTATCTAGCTTCTTTTGAAACTTTCCAGAGTTCCAGCACTTACTACAAAGTTGCTAAGCTTGTTCCACTCGTCCACCACCCTATTTGTGAGCCAGTTTCTTCCTATCTCCCTCCTAAACCTAAACTTATCCAACTTAAATCCGTTGCTCCGAGTCCTATACTGCTCGGATATTATAAGAACTTTATCTATATCCCCTTTATTGATTCCTTTCACCCACTTAAATACTTCTATCATATCTCCCTGCACTCTTTGTCTTTCTAGGGAATGCAAGTTAAGTTTCTTTAACCTATCTTGATATGGAAGGTTTCTAAGTCCTGGAATCATTTTCGTCATTCTTCGCTGCACCGACTCTAGTGAATTGATATCCATTCTCTAATAAGGGCACCAGAACTGAACCGCATAATCAAGGTGCGGCCTGACTAGCGCAAGATATAGTTGCAATAAGACCTCTGCACTCTTATTGCTTATTGACGGACGGTGTGGTTAATGGTGGAGCAGAGAATTGCGAATGCGTGAAATGAGGTACAAGGTGCTTCCTTCTGCTTGGACAGAGGTTGGTTAGGTTAGTTTAGTTTAGTTAGAAAGAAGGCCTTTAGCACCTCATTGTATAGTCTGCCCATGTATGTGCTTTAGGCTGCTGTAACGATGGACATCGATGTTATTCATATGGCTGCCATCGCTATATTTTGTGTGTATTTTAAATTGCCGGAGATCCATAGGTAATGCCAATGCCAACTGGTATTTCTCATGACCAAATTCGATAATTTTGTAGGTATTATTTTAGTTATGTACTAACCATCTCATTCAGGGATTTGGGTATTTGAAATCTATAGATCTAATAATTCTATGATATTGGATGTATTTTATTCGCGTTAATATCATATACAGGAGCACCTGTCACCTGCTCACTTTGTATACAACTGACCCACTCTATCTGCGCTTACTCACACATCCACAAAAAATGTAAAATTTCACCCTGACACTTCAACAATGTTGCTTTCATTGGTACCAGATATCAAAATAACTACTTTCTCTTTAATATAGCAGAGGGTTAGCCCCCTGTCTAGGAAGCTAAGTAGATTTCTTTGGTTGGTTAGGTCAGGTTCTATTGGGTTCATTATTATTCACTTGCGACGGAAGTCAAAATGATGAGATAATCTATTGCTTGTGTTAATAATCCCAGATTCCATTGTTGTAAGAAACTAAAATTTTACCAAATTTGGTTATAAAAAAGCAGTTGGGTATTGATGAACATTTTGGTAAAGAACATTGTTAAACTTGTTAATGAGCAAGTCTTGGGTTGTGTTCAAGACAAGGTACACAGTGACATAAGATGTGACAAGACAGAAGTTATTTAGAAATTACATAGTACAAATGTCTAAGTCATGATGGGAATGTGATGTAAAGATATTCAAATTGGGCAAGATGATATATGAATTCTCTTAACATTTATGACCATATAACCAGAGTAAAGGGTGATGACGGTGACTATAGGAACCTTGAGTATGGAGACATTAAAGCATCTTAATTTGCACTCCCTCTATACATAGAGTGAGGGGTGATATGATTGGGGTGTATAAATGAAAGTCAGGGATAAACAAAGTATAACAAAGGTACTAAAACTGTCTAACCAGGAGGTAAACTCGTAGCAATGGTTTTAAATTAGACAAATTTAGATTTAGGCATGAGACACGTAACACTGGTTTGGCAGAGTCAGTCACGCCTGCAGGAGTGTATCAAGAGAAAAGGGAGGCCTATAGACTACCGGAAGTTTTTAACTTTTCAGAATAATTTTTTATTATTATTTCATCTCGTTGTTTATGTCCGTCACAACCCCGTGCATAATGCAATGGCGAGGAGTGTACCTGTAGGTTTGTTCCATACATGAATACAATCTGTAAAGGAGAGAATAATGATTGTAGGTACTGTATTAGTAAAATCTTCGGGACTTAAGGAGGTATATTTAGGTGGTGGTCTACGATGTACAGTTCATGTCTTAAGGATTTTTTTTATGTACAGCAGCTAAAACAACTACCTGTATCTGTGCAGGTGGGAGTAGATATACTCCGAAATTTTACTTGTGACTAGTGACAGCCCTCATATACTGTACCAAAATTTATCGTCCATGCTCTCATATTGTTTCCCACAAAGTATGCACAGATAGTTGTTTTAGCTACTGTACAGTGTATACCAAAGCATACTAACTTTTAGAGTTGATGGAAATCTGTAACCCACACATCTTTTAGCTTGTAGTTGAAGTTGACTCTTACTACAGTTCTGTATTACAGGTATACTGTTTAATATTGGTTTCTTTTTATTAATTTTACATGGCTTAGTAGTGTGTAAACAGGTATACTGTGTAATATTGGTTTCTTTTTATTAATTTTACATGGCTTAGTAGTGTGTAAGCAAACTTATAGGTTATATATTTCTTGTATTCATTATTTGCAAAACACTGCTGAATGGGTTAATATAAAAATACAGTAATGAATCATTCCTAACCTAACAAAGCCTAGTATACATAAAGTAACCTATGAAAAATAATCTCTTACAATTGTACAAATGGGAATGGAAATGTGTTAACCTAAGTTTACTTAATTTAATCCAGCTTTTTGGGATTTTCATTTATGGCATTTCATACTCTTAATCTAGATTTTAAAGGTACACCCCCCAAAATATGCTCTGTCAGTCCTCTCTTCCATCCATGAACCCTGAGACGCATATGAAATTGTGAATCCAAGACATCACTGTGTTAGGCCAATAGAAGGCCCACTGTGTGATGTCTCGGATTCACGGGTTCATGGATGGGAGAGAGGACTGACAGGACTTTTAGAGGGTGTAAATATTTTGTGTCTGAAGGAAGGAAATGGAGAAAATAATAGTGAAAATGCTGCTCTTACTTCTGTGAGTGATGATTGCCATTGTTATGGTATGTGGCGTTTTATTTGAGAAACGCAGTTGGCTGAATTGTGTATCATTTATGGATTTATAGCTTTGAGGTATGGTAATACTGTACAGTGTACTATATGTAATAATCTAACATCGTCATACTAATGGCTTTAAAAACAATAAAGTTGATTAGGATACTTGTACAGTACTGTATACATTACTGTATCAAAAATGAAGACAGGCTATTAAATCCTTTTGCAAAAATTTTGCTTTGGATGATACTAAATGCCTATACAATAATCTAAAAAATGGTGTATTGATAGTACAGTACAGCAATTTAACAAAGTGGCTAATCATAAGATGATTTTGCACATGCTCAGTGGTTCTTTCAGGTTGAGCATTTGCTGTGGTTGGATGCCAAGCTTTTACCATCATGAGGATTGATGCAGGCATTTCATATGGCTGTAAAGCAATCAGAATGTCATAGTAAGTGCTGAATTTTCGAGCTTCGAAGAAAGAGAAAATATTTTATGTACTGTACATTTGTGCAAGTGTATTTAAGATTAGGTTTATTTGTCGAATCATTATCCATAATGAAGCAACTTTTAAAAACATTTCTGCTGCTGCAGACAGAGTATGTTTAGTGTGTACGCATAGCTAGCAGTGTTTTAAGAATAACCGTTTTGTGACGATGTAATAATGACCATAGCATTATTTTGATGCAGTGATTGTTAAAGGTGAGAGGTTCAAATGTGATTTCAAAAGGAAAAGAGAAATTGAATCCCATATTTATGCTACCATTTTTGTTATTTCTTTTTCTAATTCTCTTTTGCTTGGTAAAACACATTTTCATTTTATTTGTTTTATTGCTCATATCACAGATATGAATGACAATATTGGGATTTAGTATGGTAAATATCTTGGGGAAATCAGATATATGGTGAAGTAGAGCAGAAATTCCAAAATTTAACCTTTAATTACTGTATACAGCAGTACCTCTATACATATTGATTAATACACCCGTAGACTTAAATAGGATTATGATGTGTATTTTTATTTATTTATTTTATTTTATTTTTTCAAAATACTTACTGGAGAATAATTCACCTTCCAGGAAACTCAGCGGCTGATGGCTGAACCAGTGCCAGGTATATCGGCAGTTCCAGATGAAACAAATGCTCGATACTTTCATGTAGTGGTAGCAGGTGTGTATATTGTGTTGAAAATTTTTCATGTTAAGTTTATATGCTGTGCTGCTTCTCTAAAGCCAATGTTATGTTTATTTCATAACAATTAAACTTCTGATAGCTGGGAAAACATGTAAATGTCAGGGAATATTGTTTGGCAACTTGGAAAAATTCTGTTGTAGAAGGTGTTGCTGTCACTATTCTCCTTCCACGAAGGGGGGATTGTACATGTATTGTATGTATTGTACTTTCTGACTTAATAAATGGATAATATACGTTACTGTACAGTTACTGGTATCAATTTTTGTCTTAACACTGCTTTAACGGTATTCTTGGCTGATTGTATCTTGGTACAGTAATGTACAGTATGTACTGCACAATGCAGATGGTATGCAAACATAGCAGCGAGCAAGCAAACAATGGCAGTGGACAATGAACTAAGTGCATGCCATGATGCTAGAGTTTAAGGAGATACTGCCTGCTAGAAACAACAGCCATCGTAGGGATCCATTGCTTTCACAGGACAGTTGTAGCTAATCACAGTGTACAATCAGTCTGAGCCTATGACCTACTGGTAAGTTCTCCATGCAGCCAACCTACCCACATGCTCAGTTTTTGGAATTTCTCGGAATTTAAATTTTATTTTCGGGTATTGGAAAGTCCCAAGATTAGAGATTTTAGCGATATAACTGTACTGTACTGTATTATCATACTTTTTGTACGTTATTGAGTTTAGAAGATGGGTACAGTACTTGCAGATAATGAAATTAGTTGAAATGATAAATAAAATTAATAAATATCTTTAATACTACTATTTTCTTACAGAATGACTAAATAATGATTAAATGTGTCAAAATAGATCTTAAACATTAGAAAAAAAATTTGTTACTAAGAAATACATATGATTTTCCACCACCGTCTCTGTAAGAAAACTAAATATCAAGCAGCAAGCAAACAGCTCCAGCGCAAAGATGATAAAGCAACAAATATGGCTGTAGCGAGGTGACAATGTTTAACTTCTACATTCATATGAAGACTTTCTTAACATTAGTAATAAATGAAACAAAATTTAATAACACTCACCAGTTAATTTTTTAGCATGCTGTGTGGTTAACCACTGACCATCATTGACCTGATGCTCACCTGCCACAACCCTTTACATCTCTTTCATTTTCATGTCCATACTAATGACTTTCCTGGACACCTTAGCTGATTTACCAACGCATACACTTGCAGGCCGTTTCAGATATAGTGGACATAAAATGTTCACAAAACACACACAGATAGCTGAAATATGAAGAGACCTACCGTGATACAACAGACTTGAATCTTGGCAGGCTACTGTATACACTTTGAGATGATTTCTGATTGGTTTAGAGGATTTAAACAACAAAGATGGTGGCAGACAGTATCGTTGGTTCTTTTTCACTGTTGCTTGATTTATTTTTTCTGAAATGAAACTAATTACCATTACATTTATTAAATGAATATTTTTTTCTGTCCATTAAAGAAAAATTCGTCGGCCAAGGCTCCGTTAAAAGGGGTATGATAGTGCTGTACTGTAATACTTATGTTAGCTTAAACATTATGACAATTACCTTTGGTACACAATTTGACTTTGAAAAGATGAATTTCAAAACCTGCTATGCAGTAGTAAAATCACAAACCTTCAGATTTAATTTTACATTAGCTTCATTCCAGGGTATCTTTATGTAGTATTTATTTATTTATTTATTTTTATTTTTTTTTATTTTTTTTTTACGGGGATTAGCCCACCTGGGCACAGGTTACTGATCCACATTCAAAATAAATAAAATTTATAATAAAAAATAAAATAATAAAACAATAATAATAATAAAGAACCATAAAGAAATACAAAAATGAAAAAAGATCTAAAGTCAGAAACAATATATGTATGTTGTGTTGTCAATAGTAAGAGAAACAATTGAGACCCTGCAATTGTGTGTAAATGAGGCAGAAAGTCAGATAAGCAACCTGGGCTTGGTCACAGTTTTTGTGAAGCCTTGTGGCAGCAGGGCCTACCATTAGACAACACATACTGCTTCCAATATCCTCCCAGGCGGTAGCGCCTCCCTGTTTGGTAGCTGCATACTACCTACTATATACTTAAATGTTTTTCTCATTTTAGGTCCAGAAGGGTCACCCTTCGAGGGTGGAGTGTTTAAATTAGAACTGTTCTTGCCTGAGGAGTACCCAATGAGTGCTCCAAAAGTCAGGTAAGCCCTCTTTTGCTTCAGGAACAATGGCTGTTTTTATATACTGTATATATTTTTTCAGGCCGTGGTTCATTGATTTTTGTAGAGTAACATGACCTGGCTACCTAATCCTAACTTGAAAACCCAACCTAACCTAACCTAACCTAAACTAAATTAAACTAAACCTAAACCTGACCTACCTTTAAATCTTTCTGGAGTCAAGGTTTTACCTCACACAATCAAGAACGCACAAAAAAAAAAGACTAGAAAATGACTTCACACAGGTGTTATGTGCAAGCAGTTCCGTTTTATTTTGTTTTGAACAGTACTGTACTACACATTGAAAGTTACTTGAGTGTAGGAACTACAGGGGCCTGAAGTTGTTAGATCAGGTTATGTGGAGAGAGAGATAGATAAAAAAAATATATAAAGGAAAGAGTGGACATTAACAAAACGCTGTGTGGGTTTTATTCCAGGTAGGCAATATTTATGGTCAGGCAACTACAGGGGAAATATCTAGGGAAGGAGATTTGTACCCTGTACTTTGTATTTGTAAACTTAAAAGAAAGCTCTTGAGAGGGTACCACATGAAGTAGTAAAGTGGAAGTGAAATAGATAGGGGTTGAGGAGTGTCTTGTTTAAGAAGTTTTAGCATTATATGAGGGTTCAAAAACTGGTGAGAGTAAATGGCAAAGAAGGTTAGGAATTTTAGGTGAAAGTAGGAGTTCATGAGCTCTTGAGTCCCCTTCTGTACAATATCATGTAACTTTACTTTAGGACTGGTTTGCCCTGGAAGTTGTTGACTGCTGATGACTTGGTGGCAATAGCAGATAGTATTGAAGTGACTGTCAAGACATTGACGTAATGGACGGATAAAATGGAGTCAAGGGCTTGAGAGTGAATGTGGCAAAAACAGAAGTACCTGTCTTGATTAGTGGCATGAGTGAGGCACCCATAGTTGAAGGTGACCATGTGCTGTCTGTAAGAAAGGTGTTGGCACCAACTCAGTAAAGTGTAGTGAGCATGGAAAGTGGCTAAATAAAGAGGTGCATTGGAGTAGATGGCAGATAACAGGATGTTGCTGACTTTAAGAGTGTGCTGTATGTGCAACTACAATACTCATGTAAGTCAAAGCAACCAGCAAAAACATAACATTGGGGATATATCCCAGGACTTTGTTGAGAAGTTCTGCTACCAAGGTGATATAATCAGTGCTGGAGGCAGTACTGAAGTTGGCTTAGTTGGAGGAGTCATAAGTGGCTGGAGGAAGCTGCCTTTATCGAAGGCAGAGGATTTTCCCTCCATGTAAAAGGAAAGATGTGTGCAACTGGTGTGAGAAGTGTGTTATATTGCAACAAAATATGGGAAGGAGGATGAATATACACAGATTTGTGCAAGTTGAAATGAGAATGGTGCGGTGGACGTGCAATTTGAGACTGAAAAATCAGAAACTGTTTAGAGCTAAGAGGACAGCAAGGGTATTGAGAGTATTGGTGAAGTTTTGTGTAGAGGTAGGCTTAGATGGTTTTGGTACTTGGAGAGAATGGACGAGACCAATTAGGTTAAGAGATGCTTGAGTAAATGTGGGAGGGAGGAGAGCTAGGGGTTGACCAAGAAAGGAAATGAGGAGAGGTTTTAAGAACCAGACAATAGAGGCTGCAAGAGACTGTAGAATGGAGAGCTGACTTAAAGCATCGAAATTGACCATAAATTTGAATGATGTAAATGTGGCTTATGAAGTAATGCTGAACTTCTCCTTTGCAGGTTCATGACAAAAATTTACCATCCCAACATTGATAAATTAGGAAGAATTTGCCTAGATATTCTTAAAGGTAAGTTTATTTTTATATGGTTTCTTACACTTGTATTGAGATTTTTTTTTTTTTTTGATCTGGTCATTGTTAATGGCTGTTTGCTTGGATTAATTTATGATAGTATTAATGCTATTTGACCTAAAGATGCAGTGACTATATATGGCACCCCTGTACAGTATATTTGGAATTTCACAGTTACAGAATTTATTTTAGTACCCAAAATTTTCTCATTTACAGAAATTTTTCTGGAAAAAAAATAAAAATGAAATTTCACTGCTGGGTAATGATACAAACTATATAAAATGTCCCACAAGAAAAAAAAAATAAATCTTCATATAAAAAGTCCACAGAAACAAACAAAACAGCATCAAATGTTAATGGAAGGGTAGTGACCTATTACTGAATTTTTTAATAAAGTTTCTAAAGAGGAAGAGGAGACAGATTCCAGATTCAGACTCCTCAAAGAGTGCAATAGTCTTTTAATAACCTTGTTATACACTTAAAGAACTTAGTTGTTGAATTGCAGTAATAACATCATAACAACGACAATTGATTTTCTTTAAACAGTTCAGATAAGCAGTGTTATCGCTTTTTTATTACTTTAACATTATTCGGACTGAGGTATGCTGCCACAATTATTCCAGTTTATTGAGGTTCTACTTAAATTGAGAATCTTCAATATATTGTAGAAGAAAATTATATCTCGTATTTAATTATCTTTATTTAGACAAGTGGAGTCCAGCGTTGCAGATTCGTACAGTGTTGCTGTCCATTCAAGCGCTTCTTTCAGCACCCAACCCGGATGACCCCTTAGCTAATGATGTTGCTGAACTCTGGAAGGTAGGGTTTTTTTTTTTTTTTCCTCAAAAACCCATTCTCAAGAGCAACACAAACTACGTCATTCATTTTCACGAGCTCCTTTACCAGGCGTGCTTTGCTCTGGTGCTCTTCTTCTATAACAAGGTCCCAAATTCTTATTTGGTTATCTTTTTACATTGTATAACCCAACATTATGCATCAGTAGCACAGCCATCCCCTTAAGACACTTAAAAATTTTTAATATGCTTATCCACATACTTAGCAGTATTGTACAGTCTCGTTCAAGATTCTCGAACACTGCTGGAGACAGCTGGCAACTCAAGACTGCTTGTTTACTATAGTACGTAGTAAAAATTATGAATGAGAGTAAAAGTGGTTGGTGACTGTTTACTTAGATCCCCGTTGCTTAATTATTGGTTGGGCTTTTACATTCATTCATAATTTTTACTACATACTATAGTAAACAAACGTCCTTGAGTTGCCAGCTGTCTCCAGCAGTGTTCAAAGAATTTTGAATGAAACTGTACATGTAGTTAAATCAAATATTGGGATCATTTTTTAAGGGTATTTGTTTGATTAATTTTCCACTATTACATAGAATATATAAACACTTAAATTTCAGTACACAAGAGTGTATGATAGATATGTATACTGTGCACCTGCAAGCGAAACAAGAAAATCTATGAAGGCTTGATTTGAAAGATAAAGTAAATTGCTGTCTTTATGGGAGAAAAATTAAAACGTTATATAGACGACAAAGCAATATCTTGAAAGGGATTACACACTCTTAGGAATAAGCATTAATATAATAGCCAACAGATATTGCAGCAAGATACAGTAGGATTAATCTTTGTAACTGATACTAATATTTCTTGCCTTGGACCTATTTACTCTAAAGCATCAGTTAAAGATTGCTCTGGCTACTTTTTTCCAACATCTTTAAATTTATTCATATTTTTAGGTTTTTGAGATACTGTACTGTATTGTATTAAGAAATTTATAGAAATTGGCATCCATAGTACAGTAGTCATAATGGTGGAATGCTGCATCTCAAGAACCGGATGATTACTTTTTTGTGAAGTATTCGTGTATTTGGTTTAAAGGACATGAGTGAAAATTTCTTAATGAGGGGTAAGAATTTGTGATATGTATGGATTTAGAGAAATCATATGGTAAAGTCAGAAGCATTGAAAAGGTATTGGTTATGCAAGATATTGTTTTAAGCTGTCCAGAGTTTTTTGTTGTGAAGAGGGTAACTGGTTCCTAACAAAAGCAGGTTTATAGCAAAGGTGTGTAATGTTAACATAGATGTTGAATATTTTCAGGGATGTGGTAATAATAGGGTAAGCAAGAGTGATGGAAAGAAGTACAAGTTTGTAGAATAATGACATGGTATGTAAATGGGAAGGGAGGGAGCTGCTCTGCAGATGACACTAATCAAATAGGTAATATATAGGTAAAAGTTTAGATGTTAGTGAAGGAGTTTGGAACTGTACTAGAAGAAGTATAAAAGTGAATGTGAGTAAAAGTAATAAAAGAAAGAAGATGGAGAAATAAATTTTAGCTTCAACAGAGATAAATAGAAAAATTGCAGTTCCAGATACAAGGGAGTGGATGTGCCAGCAAGGGGAATGGTTTGTTATGAATTGAATCACAGTGTGTGAGTGGGAAGAAAGTAATAGGTGTATTGAAATGTGTATGTAGAAAGGAATTGCATACACAGTGCAGTAGAATATTTGAACTGACAATATTATCTGGGTGTGAGTACTATTGAAATATGGACTCTGGATGAAGTAGCAGAAATGGCATGCTTGAGAGCAAGCAGAAAGTAGGTCATATAGAAATAAAGATATGACATATAAGTTTGGAGAATAGATCAAGGTTATCCATGTGATATGGACATATTTAGAAAATAGGAAGTGAGAGATTAATTGTGTGCAATTATGAGGTGGGTGGTAGTAGAGAGGTGGAAGGACTGAGGAGGAGGTAGAAGACAAAAGTGAAGGCTGTATTAGAAGTGATGGGGAAGAAAATCTAGGAAACAGCAGTACTGTATGTATGTATCAATCAGCAGAGAGCATGGCATCAAATAATATTTCTGAAAAGATCTGCTACTGATGGGTAACAGTGGTTTTTTAGTGACAGATAAACTCAAATATCTGTCTTGTTTTTGGAAGGAAAGCACCATGAAATAAACCCTCTATTACAGCAGTAAGACTGAATAAATGATAACAAATGAAGGCAGAAGATGTGTTTGTTTGCTCTTGATTTTGGCCACTCTGGATTAAGCATCAGGAAGATTGTGAAAGAATAAGAAATTATGTACTTATTTAATTTATTTATTTATTTATTTTTTACTCTGATTTGAACTAGAACTGTAAATGATTAATTTTCTCTTTCACAGGTGAATGAATCCGAGGCTATTCGTATTGCTCGAGAGTGGACGCGCACTTATGCTATGGGCAATTAGTGCTTTGCCTTTATATATTAATTTTTTATTGAAAGGATATCACTTCTCAGGATCAACAGTACATTATGTTGATGAAAGAGTGCAGAGTCCTTAGTCACAACAAAGATACCAACCAACACAGCTATGAGCCACCAGAGCCTGGAGGACTGCCAACCACTTACCATCTAGGGTCAGCTGCTACTTACAGTCCTGACTGTTGAAAGTATTACCCTTGGCAATCTTCTACTCCAAATGTAGTATGCCAGCAGATACATGGAGTGATCTTGGTGGCCCTACAGGATAATATATGACTGTGAAGCACGTGTTGGCTTGCTGGCAACTGACTAAGAATTTTAATCCCTTGAGAAAGAAATTTTTGTTTTTGGGCCACGACATCAATTTTTCTTGTATATTTGTTCTAGTCTCCTGTTCTTTGGACATCTTGAAATTGAAGATTTCAAGTGGAATTATCTGCCTCTTCAAATCATTATAAAGAATTCCAATAAACATGAGTTTTGCGTGATTTTTCAAGGTGATCATTTGTAAGTATTTTCATTTTGTCCCCATCCTCTTAGTTTCAGTGAGTCTTGGGGTCACATCTTGAAGCAAGTATCATGTTTTTTGGCCCTGTATCTACAGTGCCTTTATGTCTTTATGTCTGTTTTATCTCAACTGCAAGGCTTTTTAAATGTTAGAGAACTTTCATTTTTACGCTTAGTGGAAAATGAAGTTTGAGCAACTGCAGCACAGGGCCAGAGAACATTCTGAGCATCACAGCAACATTTATAGCTGTATTTTTGTGGGTAACATAACTGTTTGTTGTTCATCCAGGAACTTCTGATATATCATCATCTGTTTAGTTTATCAGAAAATCAGAATGCACCTCATATACAAACAGTGCTGTGTGTCCCCCCAAAATTGAATAATTGTGTTATATCATCCTTCTGGTATGCTGATTGAATGTAGATCTCACAGGTAAGGGGTTCATTGTAGTCCTGTTGGAATATTTTTTACCAATTAACTTTTTTATTAATTTAAATTAAATTAATTTTACAGCAGGTTCTCCTTAATTTATATATAACGGACTATTAGGAGGTGACTGGGGTATATTAAATTGATGATCCTTTACCTTGACAATAAACACGAATATATATGTATATATATATATATATATATATGATGGTATAATAATTGCTTTCTTGCTTATTAAAGGAGTATACTCCGTTTATGGAACATTGAATGCAATACAAGGTTCCAAAATTCATATTAACCAATGGAAGTCTTGAGCCAAGTAAGGATCATATTGACAATAGAGCCTCCAAAAATGGTGCATTAACTTACTATAAATACTGAAGCCATTTGTCGTTATAAGGGAATGTTTTTGGGACACATAGTATACCGTGGTATCTACAGAAATACTGCCCTAGTACCAATGTAATCAATGTCCTATGTAAATGACTCATTCCACATAGTGTGTATTATTGATAGGCCTTATGATGAAAGAGTAATCTTGCATTACTTTGTTTTGTCACCCCCATTACCATAAATATACCTGTATTAATGCTTGCAAGAAAAAAATGAAGGAAAATTGGCAATAAAGATTCAATCTCAAAGTGAAATTTTGTATGCTGCTTTAGAGTAAAGACTATTAAATTACTGTCTTATTGTTTTATTTCATCATGAAGGTACATTATATAAATTGCTCTTACAGTTTTGGGTGCCTGAAGCATACAAATTTGCCAGGAAAATGGCACCAAGGGCCTTGGGTGACTAAAACACCCAAATTTGCTGGAAAAATGATACTAAGGATACAGTACACACTCAATTTAACAGAATCTGATAACAAACTCTTGATTTAGCAGAAGGCATTTGTTGTTATTTTTCGCTCGATTTAGAGAACTGGTTCGCTAAATTGAGACACCTCAGACACATGATACAGTAATACCTACTTCAGCTTATAGCAAATGTAATAAATGTATAAAAACGATGAATAATGATATAAAAAGTACCATATAAGCTGCACTCCATACATTAGCAGGGAGTAATTAGGAAAAAAACCCACATTTTCTTCTGTGGCCATATTTTTCTGAATATATACTGTACAGTACCAGGAAATGTGAGGAATAAATGAAATACCAACAAAAAATACTATACAGTACAGTATTGCCAATTCAGCAAATAAAGTCCAAATGAAAATTTAACACCGTAGCCATTTGCATACACTCCCTCTTTCACCACAGTAATGAAGACCAGCTGTGACACCAATTCCTTAGCAACGCTCTGTGCCACCCCCTACACCAGTGGCCCCCAACCTTTTGTAGGCTCTGGGCCACCTTTATAATTGTAAATGTAGTGAAACTGCCAAAACTATGGATCTACAGTCAAGGGAAAAAAATCATATAGTGTATAGTTATTTGCAGTTTTACGTCTCAATGTTCCGTTACCAATAACACACTTTTTACATTTACCCTTGGATTATGCATCCTCAAAATGAGAATATAAATATACCCCTCTTCCTTGCCCTCCATACCCACACCCCTCCTCCATGCCCTCCATACTTACACCCCTCCTCCCTACCCACACCCCTCCTCCATACCCGCCATACTCACACCCCTCCTCCATACCCACACCCCTCTTCCATGCCCTCCATACCTATACCACTCCTCCATGCCCTCCATACCTATACCCCCTCCATGCCCTCCATACCTATACCCTCCATGCCCTCCATACCTATACCCCCTCCATGCCCCCTCCATACCCATGCACCCACCTCCATGCCTCATACCACACACCTCTCCATGCCTCCCATACCTATACCCCTCCCTCCATGCCCTCCACACCACACCCACCATGCCCTCCCCCACACCCACATGCCCTCCATACCCACACCCCTCCTCCATGCCCCCATACCCATACCTCCTCCATGCCCTCCATCCACACATCCTCCATGCCCCATACCATACCCCTCCTCCATGCCTCCATATCTATACCTCCTCCATGCCCTCCATACCATATCTCCATGCCCTCCATACCCACACCCCTCTCCATGCCCTCCATACCTATACCCCTCCTCCATGCCCTCCATGCCTCATACCCACACCCCTCCCCTCCATGCCCTCCATACCTATACCCTCCTCCATGCCCTCCATACCCCATACCCCTCCTCCATGCCCCCTCATACCTATACCCCCCTCCATGCCCTCCATACCTATACCCTCCCTCCATGCTCATACCCATACCCTCCATGCCTCCATACCTATACCCCCCTCCATGCCCTCCATACCTATACCCCTCCTCCATGCCCCTCCATGCCCATACCACACACTTTCCTCCATGCCTCCACATACCCCCTCCCCAACATGCCCTCCATACCCACACACTTTCCTCCATGCCCTCCATACCCACACACTTTCCTCCATGCCCTCCATACCCACATTTTCCTCCATGCCCTCCATACCCACACACTTCTTCCATGCCTCCATACCTATACCCCCCACATGCCCTCCATACCCACACACCCTCTCCATGCCCTCCATACCCACACACTTTCCTCCAGCCCTCCATACCCACACCCTTTCCTCCATGCCCCATACCCCACACACTTTCTCCATGCCCTCACCCACACACTTTCCTCCATGCCTCCACACCCCACACACTCTTTCCTCCATGCCCTCCATACCCACACACACTTTCCTCCATGCCCTCCATACCCATACCCTCCCTCCATGCCCTCCATACCTATACCCTCCATGCCTCCATACCTATACCCTCCTCCATGCCCCTCCATACCTATACCCCTCCATGCCCCTCCATACCCACCTCTCTCCATGCCCTCCATACCCACACCCATCCTCCATGCCCTCCATACCCATACCCCCCCCTCCTCCATGCCCTCCATGCCCTCCATACCCACACACACCCTCCATGCCCTCCATACTCACACCCATCCTCCATGCCCACATCCACACCTCCATGCCCTCACCTACACACTTTCCCTCCATGCCCTCCATACTCATACCCTCCTCCATGCCCTCCATACCCACACACTTTCCTCCATGCCCTCCATACCCATACCCTTCCCACATGCCCTCCATGCCCTCCATACCCACACACTTTCCTCCCATGCCCTCCATACCCACACACTTTTCTCCATGCCCTCCATACCCACACACTTTCTCCATGCCCATACCTATACCCCTCCATGCTCTCCACCTTACCTATATGCCTCCATACCATACCCTCCATGCCTCCATGCCCTCCACACACTTTCCTCCATGCCCTCCATACACACACTTTCTCCATGCCCTCCATACCATACCTCCATGCCCTCCATACCTATACCCCTCCTCCATGCCCTCCATTCCATACCCCCCTCCATGCCCTCCATACCTATACCCTCCTCCATGCTCCATACCCACACCCTCCATGCCCTCCATACCCACACCCATCCTCCATGCCCTCCTTACCTATACTCTCCTCCATGTCTTCCATACCTATACCCTCCCCTCCATGCCCCCCATACCTATATCCCTCTATGCCCTCCATACCTATTCCTCCCTCCATGCCCTCCATACCTATACCCCTCCTCCATGCCCTCCATACCTATACCTCCTCCATCGCCCTCCATACCACACCCATCCTCCATGCCCTCCATACCTATACCCTCCTCCATGTCTTCCATACCATACCCTCCTCCATGCCCCCCATACCTATACCTCTCTCCTCTATGCCCTCCATACCTATTCCCCTCCTCCATGCCCTCCATACCTATACCCCCCCTCCAGTACACACGAACCCAGACGTCCTCTAGTACACACACACTCGGACTTTCTCTTGTACATATGCACTGGGACGTCATCTGGTACACATGCACCCAAGAGAACTTGGGTACATATGCACCCAGACGTCTTGTAGAACACTTGCACCGGGACGTCCTCTGGTACACATGCACCGGGACGTCCTTAGGTACACCTGTCTCACGTATTCTGTCTTGATATTCATCAAAAGCCTTGACCTACCTCAATATGTCCTTAGGTGCATGTGCACTCGAAAGACCACTGATACACATGCACCCAGACGTTCTCTAGTACAGATGCACCGGGACGTCCTCCAGTACACATGCACCGAGACGTCCTCTGGTACACATGCACCCAAGAGAACTTGGGTACACATGCACCCAGACGTCCTCGGGTACACATGCACCCAGACGTCCTCTGGTACACATGCACCCAAGAGAACTTGGGTACACATGCAAACAGACGTCTTCTTCTACATATGCACCAAGGCGTCCTCTGGTACACATGCACCTAAAAGCACTCTGGTACACATGCGCTGGGATGTCCTCTGGTACACATGCACCTAAGAGAACTTAGGTACTCTTGCACCCAAGAGAACTTGGGTACACATGCACCCAGACGTCCTCTTGTACATATGCACCGAGGCGTCCTCTGGTACACATGCACCAAAAAGCACTCTGGTACACATGCACCCAGACGTCCTCTAGTACACATGCACCGAGACGTCCTCTGGTGCACCTTTCTCACGTATTCTATATTGATATTCATCAAAACCTTCATCTTCCTCAATATGTCCTTAGGTGCATGTGCACTCGAAAGACCACTGGTGCACATGCACGCAGACGTCCTCCAGTACACATGCACCCAGACGTTGTTTAGTACAGATGCACCGGGAAGTCCTCTGGTACACATGCACCGAGACGTCCTCTGGTACACATGCACCCAAGAGAACTTGGGTACACATGCACCCAGACGTCCTCTAGTACACATGCACTGGGACGTCCGCTGGTACACATGCACTCAAGAGAACTTGGGTACACATGCACCCAGACGTCCTCTAGTGCACATGCACCGGGACGTCCTCTGGTACACATACACTCAAGAGAACTTGGGTACACATGCACCCAGACGTCCTCTAGTACACATACACCGGACGTCCTGTTGTGCACCTGTCTCACGTATTCTGTATTGATATTAATCAAAACCTTGACCTACCTCAATATGTCGTTAGGTGCATGTGCACTCGAAAGACAACTGGTACACATGCACCCAACAGAACTTGGGTACACATGCACCCAACAGAACTTGGGTACACATGCACCCAGACCCTTAGGTGCATGTGCACTCTAAAGACCACTGGTACACATGCACCCAACAGAACTGGGCCCATGCATAACAGAACTTGGGTACACACATACCCAAACCCATAGGTGCATGTGCACTCGTTTCACTGGTACACATGCACCCAACAGAACTTGGGTACACATGCACCCAGACGTCCTCTGGTACACATGCACCCAGACGTCCTCTAGTACAAATGCACCGGGACGTCCTCTGGTGCACCTGTCTCACGTATTCTGTATTGATATTCATCAAAACCTTCCCCTACCTCAATGTGTCCTTAGGTGCATGTGCACTCTAAAGACCAATGGTACACATGCACCCAGACGTCCTCTGGTACACTTGCACCGGGACGTCCTCCAGTACACATGCACCCAAGAGAACTTGGGCACACATGCACCCAGATGTCCTCCAGTACACATGCACCGGGACGTCCTCTGGTACACATGCACCCAAGAGAACTTGGGTACACATGTACCCAAACGTTCTCTGGTACACATGCACCCAGACGCCCTTTAGT